CCCCCCTTTTTTTTTTTTTTTTTTTTTTTTTTTAATCTTCACCCAAAGATATTGATTTTAGAGGAAAGGGGAGAGAGAGAGGAGAGAAACATTGATCGGTTGCCTCCCGTACGAGCCCCATCCGGGGATCGAGGCCACAACCTAGGTATGTGCCCTGACAGGAGCCGAACCCCACCCCTTTGGTGCACAGCACTTCGCGCCAACCACCTGTGTCACCAGGCCAGGGCCCCTCCTTTCTACTTTTACATATTTTCCAAATTTCCTGTAACAAACATATATTTCTATTACAATAAAAAAGTAAACATTATTCAGAAGAAGTTGATGTAGAAGCAGAATCTAGGCATCTGTGGTCCTTGGGCGTGTTCTCTTTCTTTGGCCTGTAGCTCAGAAGCAGCTTTTTTTGACAGCTTCCCACCCCCCTAGCAGACCTAAAAGAAAACATTTTCCCAGTCAGAGCAAGAAACAGGATCGTGCGGTAAAACCAAGAGCATCTAACTCACTTTCAACCTGTCCGATTCCCCTAGTCCTCCGAGAACATTCCGCCAGGTTATGAAGTAGTGTCTCTGCTGGAGGCCCTCAACGGGCCCCTCACCCCGTCCCCCGCGGTCCCGCCGCTCCACGTGCTTGCAGACGGCCACCTCTCAGGGATGCTGCCCGCCTATGGTAGTGACGGCCACCTGCCCCCGGTCAGGACGCTCTCCCCCCTCGACCGCCTGTCCGACTGCAGCAGCCAAGGACTGAAGCTCAAAAGGAGTCTCTCCAAGTGAGTGGCCGGCATTCAACAGTATGGGCCTGGGGTCCTTGGTGGGGTGCTTCCAGCCACCCCTCGCCTCCTGGCTGCCTGGGGCAGGGCAGACCCTCTGGGCTGTTCCCAGAGGTGCTCCTTCCACGGAAGACCTGGGGCTGACACCGGGGGGAGCGTATCCCATCCCTTAGGAGAGGCCGATAAGGGGGCCCGTGGGGACTTAGGAAGGTCCAGCAGACAGATCTGTTACGCATTCGGTTGGGTGGGGGAATGGGGCCTCGGGAGCATCGTTTAGTCTGAAGATCTGTATCTCTTAAGCATTTAAACCCAACGAGGCACAGTCCCGGTCAGCTTTCTGCTGCAGAATAAAGATGGTGTCTTATAGATGAAAATATTAGGACACCAAAAATGCCAGTGGTTTTTCCCAAGTGCCGACACGAGTCATGGAAGGAAACTGGGGAGAAAACTCACGCGTTCCGACACCCAGACGAGGTCTCCCACCCGCCCCCTGCTCCGTAGGATGTGGGGCGCCCGCGCCCTTTCCTGCGGCGGCTCAGCTGCGCTCCGTTTCAGGTCCGTGTCCCAGGACTCCTCCGTGCTACAGGAGAGCGACGGGCGGTCCCGCAGCGAATCCGAGGCGCGTGTCTCCCCGCGGCCGGCTGCTCAGCGCCTGGGAGAGGTAGAGCGCGCCGGCCCCCTCTCGGGCGCCGCACTCCAGGGCTCGCCCCTGCAGGCCCACCTGCTGCCACCCTTCCTCAGACACCTTTGGGACCCTCTCTGGGAGCAGCAAAGGTTTCGTTCCATTCAGTCATTCATGGCCTGTCACTGTCCCGTAAGCCGAGGACAGCAGCAGCAAGGAGCCCGCAGAAATCCCTGCCGGGTGGTGCTTACGTTCTTGATAGCGGGGTGGGCGTGGGCACAAAAGGCAGAAAGGAAAAAACGTGTCAGGGGGCACTGCGGGGCACTGTGACAGGCGGGGGAGAAGGGGTGTCAGGGCCAGAGGTGGGGTTGCTGTGTCCACAAAGTCGTCCATGAACAGAGACGGAAGGAGGTGTGAGAGCAAGCGGTGCAGGTGCTGGGGAAAGGGCACAGGCACAGGCAGGTGGACAAGCCCTGCGAGGACGTGCTGGGAGGGGAGGAGGTGGGGTCTCCTGCCCCCTGCACCCCCACAGGCTCTAGGTAACAGGCCCGTCACACCCACTCGGCAACGCGGTGAGCTGGGTACCGTGGAGCACACAGAGGTGACAGAGGCTCCTGTCCTCAGGAGCTCGTGGTCTAGCGGGGACAGGACATGACATGGCTAACAGCACATAGCTGTTGCTCAGCTAAGTGTTTGTTGAATGAATGAATGAATGAATGAATGAATGAATGAATGAATGAATGAATTTAAGGATAGGAAACAGGCGTGCCCATAACAGGGACAGTAAGTGCTGGGCAGAGGTGGGAGAGATGGCAAGTGGAGGAAACCAGGGGAAGCGTGAGGGAGAACGAGCCTGGAGCTGAACCTTGAAATTCTTAGAAATGAAGAGAGAGGCCAGAGAAGCACTGGGGATGGGGCAGGGCTCTGAGCAGGTCAGTGGTCCTGTGAGAGCTGTTTCCTGAAGGCCCACCTGCCGGAGGTGTGTCGATGGATCAGGGGGAGACAGACTGAGCCAGGAGCCCAGGCTGGAGGGAATGGGGGTCTGAGATCAGAAACGCAGTCTGCCAGGAGGAAAGAGAATGGGTTGTGGAGATAGAACCCGTGGGACTTTGCATCTGCCTGGGGTGGGGGGGTCGCCTGCCCGGGTGGCTGACAGGCGGGGTACCAGGGCAGGTGGGGGGAAGGTGGTGTGGTAGATGACTGAGCAGAACTAACCCGACATCCACGTGGAGATGCGCGGCCGGGGGCAGGGGGGCAGCCTCCCCTTCAGAAGGAAAGCTCTAACCCTGGGGAAGCCTGAGGTGTCCCGTGTCCCAGCTGCTGGCTGACCTGTCACCCGAGCTGCGGTCTTTGTACGGCCCCAGCAGGTGCTGTGCCTCCAGCAGGACATGCTGACTGACTTTGCCCCTCCCCTGGGAGACAGCATCCAGGCCAGGGCTGGAGAGAGGGTGACAGGACACCACCCTGCCCCTGCATGTTCCTGATGTCGTGACCGTGACCTCGGTCCCTCCCAGTGTCCCCTTCCCTCCTCTTTCCCCGAGTCTCCTGCCCTTTCACGCTTCCTCCCCGTGTATGTGTGTGTCTGTGTGTGTGACCTGTGCTCCCTCCATTGCCCCAGGAATGTGGCGTCACTCCAGACAGCGAGAATCTCACCTTGTCGTCATCAGGAGCCATCGACCAGTCGTCTTGCACAGGGACGCCCCTCTCTTCCACAATTTCCTCCCCGGAAGGTACATGAGGGAGCAGGGAGGGCCTGTTGATTCCCCCGGCCCTCAGCGCCCCTGTCTCCTCCCCAACAGACACACTAACACCTGAGCTGCGTGATACAGGCCCCACTTGGGAGGGAAGGAGACCTGCTCACCTGGGGGGGTTCTTGCCCCTGAGCTGGGGGACCGGCAGCTGTCTTCCTCCCAGTCCTGCAAGTCCCTGGTCCCCAAGGCTGAGTTCTAAGCTCTAAACACTAAAGAGCAGAGCCAGGGAAAACCTTAAATTAAAACCCTTTTAGGTGAGGGCAAGGGAAGGCCGCCGTGGCCCTCACCGCGCGGCGCAGGGAGAGCTCCGCTCCCGCTCAGCTCCCAGAACCCTTGCCTGACCTCCGTCTCCCTCCACCTCCTGTCTCCAAAGACCCCGCCAGCAGCAGTCTGGCCCAGTCGGTCATGTCCATGGTGTCCTCCCAGAGCCAGCACTCCCAGATCAGCACCGACACGGTCTCCTCCATGTCTGGCTCCTACATCGCCCCCGGCACCGGCACCGAGGACGAGGGAGAGGCTCTCCCTTCCCCGCTGGCCGCCAGCAGGGCCGCCTCAGAGGAAGGAGAGGTGAGGGAAGGGCACGGGGACATTCTTACCTCTGTGTGTGACATATCCCGAGCAGCTCCCTGAAGGGTGTGCCGGGGACATCTGCAGAGCCCCCACCGTGCTGGGAAGGGGAGCCTCGGAAGTGGGGGGTGTAACCCCAGGCTCCCCGCTCCGGCCTGGCTCTGCTTGGCACCACTTTGGTCCTGAGGACGTGGCTTGGGTTTGCTGCCGGGCGAGCCGGGTGTGGGAGAGCCGGCGTGTCTGTGCCCACATGCTTGTTGCTCTTGCAGGCGATGCCAGGGGCGTCTCCAGACAGCAACTTCATGGGCCTCGCAGAGGAGCAGGATGCGGAGGTAACACCCACAGGGGACCTGGTGCTCCCTCCCGTCAGAGGGTCGGCTGGTGCTGCCTGGGGAAGCAGATAGGACGGGGGTTGTTCTGGAACCATTCTTCCTGGGTGGCACAGGTCAGGGGTGGTGTGGAGGGAACAGCAGCTGAGCTCTGGTCGGTGGAGCATCGGTTAGCAGAGGGCTCTGGTCTGGTCTCAGTGTGACAGGCATGGAGTGGGCCCTCCGTTACCTTAGTGACTATTCGCACAGGTGACTGGGTCACAGGCGCTTTCTGGCACTGGGGGCCGTAAAGACCTGAGTGGCCTGGCTGCTGCCTTCCCCCCACCCCACCCCCACACCCCTGGAGGAAGGGGAGAGACAATTCACTGTCAGAAGTAGCTTGACTGAGGTGTATGGGAGGTTTGTGAACCGCCTGGCTCACAGTGAGGGCTCTAGAACTTTTACTTTTCTCTCTCTAGAACTTTTTTGTGAACCACATGGTCTCCAAGGAGTGTCTGGATGGGGTTTGCGATCCTAAGGGAGTTCTGAAGTTTTATGGCCTCACTGTTTGTTTTTTCACTGTTTCCACCTTAGAAAACAGTATGAACTAAACCGGGACCAAGGCTATTCCTGACGCTTCTAGCGAGCATCCGAAATGTGCCCCAGGCCCAGTCCCTCCGGGCGGCCGTGCTTCGCCCAGCCAGCCTGCCTCTGCCCGGCCTCCCAGGCTGCTCCTACTCTACTGGCGTCAGCCCTGGGGTTAAATGCCGTTAGGATGACTAGTTCGGTCTTTGGCCCGTGAATGTACAGTTGGCCCTTAAACAGCACAGTTCAAACCCTCATTGTCCCCGAGTCAGCCGTATTTTCAGTCTGCAGCAGGAGCCCGTGTGTGCAGAGGACCGACCAAAGTGACACGTGGGTTTTGACTGCGTGGGTGGTCAGTGCCCCTAACCTGCCATCGTTCGAGGGTCGGCGGTAGTCACTTGACTGCTCGGTAGACTCACGGCACCTTCCTTCTGTTGTAGGGAAATGATGTTACAGAGGAAGACGGCGGATCACCCACACAGGAAGATGGTAAAAGACCTGGTCTTCTGCTCCCTCTTACCCTACCCTTTCCTGGGTTTCTTTCAAGGAGGGGGCACTGGCGTGAGTTGGTGGCATTCCTCAGCGCTGTGCCCTTGGGGAAGGGTCACCTCCTTGATGGATAGTAGAGCAAGCAGGGTGTCCGAGGCCGCAGTGGCCCTCCCGGCTCGTGCTGGGCTCAGAGCCACGGCCGGCAGGAGGCGGTGGCCGCAGATCTGTGGCTCTGCGTTTACACCGAATACATTCCGAAGCTTCTCGGGCGCAACTCCTGCCGCCTGCCTTCCTGCCCCGGCTTCCCAGCCGAGTCCCCCAGAGCTGCTCCAGCCGCCCCGAAGTTTAGCAGCAGCAGCAGCAGCAAAACTGTCTCCTCCGCCTGGGAGAAAGGACTGTTAGGCTGCTGGCTTGGTTTTGCTTTAGCGAGGAGAGGGGCTGACCTTACGGGAAGGGTCCTAGGAGCCGGCGGCACGGGGAAGGTGCCGTGTAGAAGAGCGTTCTGCAGCTGTTGCAGTTGTTTTCTTGTAACGATTCAGCCTCCAGTATGTCCTCGGTTGGAAGGGTGTTGCTTCCAGTGCAGCAGCTGGAGAAGGGATGGTCCGCAGGGCGGGGAGCAGCAGGAAGGAGAGGGTGGGCCGGGACGTCCCGCCCAGGGATGGAACACAGCTGATCCAGGAACCAGCATCTCTCCCCTCCTCTGCTCTGAGGCCTCCGCGGAAGGACGCCTCCAAAGCAGAGCCGGGCCCCAGCGGACGCAGATGTCATCCTAGCTGCTTCTGCTTCAGCGCTGGCCGTTGCTTGGGGAGTTCAGGGGTGCGCATGCTGACTTGACCACTGTCGCCTGGCCAAGTCGCCCTGAAGGAGGGGATGGCCGCCAGGGCTGTGCCTCCACCACACCTGTGCACGCCGGCCGGCCGCCGGAGATGGGGCCGGGCACTTCCTCCACCAGGTTGAGGTCGTCAGTGCTCAAGGCTCCCTTTGTGACTGTCCCCCCACACAGAATATTTGCTTCTGACAAGCGCAGGGCCGCGGGTGTTTTCTGCCTGTCATTCTATAGCCCCCTTCCACACACACACACAAAAAAAGAGAGCACTTGAAAAAAATAACTTCTAAAACTTTCCCCTTCTCCGCTCACATGTCTATAGGTTTTGGGTCAGTCCCTTAAAACATGCCCACAGTAACAAATTTCATAGGTCTCATAAGAAAATGAATCCTAATATTGTAGATGTGGTGATTCTGACTTGATATGCAAACTTATGGAACCTACGGCCTTTCATTGCTGCCCTGTTATTTAGCGTTTGCAGAGCCCTGTGGTCATAAGCACAACCCACAGCACAGACAGACACAGGCAGGAGCAGGGTAGCTCCACCAGCGGGTCCCCCAGCCCCTGGCAGAGCTCCGCTTGGGTCACGTCCCCCGTGTCCCGGCCAGCAGCCCTCCCCGGGGCCTGACCTGCTGTGGAACAATAGCTGGCAAGGGGCCAGTTAGGGAAAGGGAGCAGCCGGCTAGCTCGAGAACACGAACATGCCCGCACAGTTCGATTCCTTTATTGTCCACTCTCTACCCACTTAGTTATTGTCTTTTTTTTTTTTTTAAACACATGGTTTGATTTTTTTTTGTCTCCATCCTTAAGATTTTTTTATTTTAAGGACAGCAAAGCAGAGGAAAATCCAGCCAGCCCCTGTCTAACTGCATTAACTCCATTACAGGCCAGAGGACATGCGCATTCCTAGGTATGGAGTGTGACAATAACAATGACTTTGACATCGCAAGCGTGAAAGCACTGGACAATAAGCTGTGCTCTGAGGTCTGCTTACCCGGTGAGTGGCCGTCTGCTGAACATGAACTTGGTGGGAGATGCTCCCCTGCTCACACCCCCGCTCTCTCCCTGGGACACCCATCTCCTGCCCTGCAGCTCCTGCTGAAGCCACGAAGCCACGGGCTGTGCTCAGATGCTTTGTGTCCTAAGGGAGAATGTTAGGCCAGGGAGAAAGGAGCAGCTCTCCCTCTCCTTCCCGTCTGCCCTGACCAGCCCCCTCCATCACGATCTTGCAGATCCCATGGCGGGCAAGATCCCATGGCTGGCGGCCTGGCCTTGTGTCCTCAACCGGAAGTTCGAGGCAGACACACCTCTCTACCTTGGAGAGAGAGCCTGAGCCCTTGCAAAGGACATCCGTAGCTCCCCCGAAGGAAGGTGTTTCATTAGACTCAGGGAGGAATTTGAAAGCCAGCATTTTATAGACTAGCGCATGGCTCCCTGATCCAGTTGCATTATACTTGTTAGCTCTGGATCCCAAAGGAAAGGTCAGGGGTCGAGGGCGACTGCTCCCGGGAGCCCTAACTTTAAATTTCATCAGGGCTGCTGAAATGTAGTGTCCTCATGACATTAAACAGAATTTAGGCCGATTTCCTGCAAAGGAACCGCATTAATCACACGGTGAGCACTGACCTCCTTGGACCCCATGCTCATGTGAGGACTCCATGAGCCACTTCTCCCGAGTGGACTCGGTCAAACTTGCCCTCCCGGTTTTACGGCAGACGTTGTCCCTCACACGTGTTGTTGGTAATCTCTCCAACACCCAGCCTCAGAGCAGCCCCATCATGTCATGGGTCCAGTGCTTTACTCGTTCAGCGAAGTGCTCGGAGGCATGGGAGCCACACAGCCTCCCGTGGTTGCCACGCTCCATCAGCCTGTGAAAGACACGAGTCCTCGCACGCCCGGGCCCCGCACAGGCTGCCGCCGGGGAGCCGGGCGCTCGGGAGATGCTTCCTCCAGCCTCCCGAGGGCTCTCGGGTCATTTTCTGTTTAGCGCTGACCCGGTCAGGTCTGGACGTCACCTCCTGCCTCCCTCTCCCCACCTTGCTTCTGTCTGTCTGTTTTTCACGTCTTTTTGCCAAGTGTAAGTCTGTCCGTCTGGTTTATTTTTCAATCCATTTACGTTATCTAGACTTTGTATGGAAGTTCATGTTCGCTCTGTGCCAACACTGTCCTCCCCGGCTACGCCACGCCCGCCCCCGCGCTTGCTGGGCCTGCACACATCCCAGAGGCTCTTGCTTAGGTTTCCATCCCTAACGGGCGAGGGCCCGTGTTCCATATACTAAGATTTTCCGAGAAAAAAAGTATTGCGAGGATATATTCACTCCTGTTCCAGACAAATGGGGATGCTTCAGCGCAGGGTTATGGGAAGGACCGGTCTTGGCCGCAGATGACATCTCTGCCCTCACTACGCCCTGTGTCTGTGGCAGCTACGCCGACCGGCTGCTCGCTGGGCTTCAGGAGAGAATCTAGGTTCCTGCCTCCCTCGGGGGGCTCTCCCACCCACCCCCACCTTTTGGCAGAGGGAGCTGCTGGGAATTGTCTTAGCTGACCATGGGGGGGAGGTTGGAAATTATGCCTCTGCTTCCTCCTGTTCCTAACCCCCTCCGGCCAGCCTGCTTGTTGATATTTATTCCATGGGGTTGTGGGAGGGGAGTGAGAACTGAGAGGAGGGAAGAACCCCTGGGGTTCCTGGTGGTGGTCTTGGAGGAGAGTCAGCCATCTGAGCTTAAACTGGGTTCACAGTTGAGGCCAGACACGAACCAGACGCCGCCGTGACTACTTTCGGGAGAGGGACTCAGGTGTGAGCGCGTGAGGTGGCCCATTGTCCCCTCGCCAGAGGTCTTGGGGCTCTTGTGGGAGAGGGAAGGCCTAGCTGCCCTCTCAGTAGACCGCTCTCTGGTTCTGCTGTTAGCCTCATACAGGTAGCAAACCTGTATGAGAACTCTGGAAGCACCCGCTGGGTTAGTGACAGGCTCATCCGCTTTGGCAGGTCCCATGGAATGAACTGGGCTCTTCTCCCTCCGCCATAAGGTCAAACTTCCATCAGATGACAGAGAGAGTCCTGGCTGGCTGGGCTGCTCGTGGGCCTGTGGCCTCAGGACAGCTTCCCAGGCCCTTGGTCTCTGCTTGAGTCTGTCTCCCTCCAGGCAGATGGTGCTCCCTTCTCAGAGGGCCAATGAGAAGAGCCATGGGGGGGGGTGGCAATCCCACCCTCCCTGTCTGCATCACCCTCCCCATGCTCCCGGGTGCTCTGTCAGCAGACCCAGCCAGAGGCCCAGCCCCTGGCGAGGACTGCACAGGTCCCCACCCTCACCACTCATCAAGTGACGCTGAGAAGGGCGCCTGTATCTCTGAGCCCCTCCTCCCCTAAGAGGCTTCTGGGTGGGGGGATGTTCTGAGATTGTTCTGAATGGCTCTCAAAGGGAGGAAATCTAAGTCGGCAGGTGTAGGTGGTGAGCAGATTAAAATTTGGAGACCATGCTAAGTAGTTGTGGTTCCAAGGAATTTGACACACAGGTGGCAAGATAGTGACCAGGGGACCAGTGGTGATTCTGTGAACAGCCATTGGGGAGTGTAGTGATGGGAAAGAGCAAAGATAATTTGGGTTTCGTAGGAGAGATACAAATACAGTTTTAAAATGACTGCGTTGGGCAGAAGTGGGCATAGCTAAATGAAATCTAAAAATACCTACGGAGACCTGAAATTCAAGGGGAGTAAACGACCTGAGACTAAGATGCTCCTGGGAAAGTTGACACTCCCGAGGCACCAGAGGCACCAAGGAAACATCCAATTTACTTTGCTGGGGACAGAAACCTTAGGAAAGGGGAGTGCAGAACGGCTCTAAATGTGCTCCCCAAATCCACCTCTAGAGGTCTCTTCACTTTCCCGTTTCTGATTCCCCCAAATGGGGAACTGAATGGAAAGCACCTTTATCTGTCTCCCTCCAAGGGTTTTAAACCTCCAAGCTCCATTTTCGGGCTGAAGGGCTGGACAGAATGGTTGTGCCGGCTCAGGTAGCCTTCGGGGTTTCCTTCCCGTGGCCAAGCTCGCCCCTTGGGCCGGGTGAGCGGAGAGCAGCAGCGGGGTGTTGCTGAGGCCCGTTGCCAGCATCCCCTTTAGGGGAAGGACGCCACCGAGTGTATCAAGACACGGGGCAGAACAGGCTTGAGGTTGCCCCAGAGGAAGCAGCTGTCAGCCTGGCCACGATTGTGTAATAGCGTGTCTGCAACCAGGGCTCGTGTGAACGCAGAGCGGCAGCCTCCTGTCCGCGGTCTCCTGGCGAGCCGGTGGCGTTTTTATTTTGTGCATGCATGTGTGTCTTCTCTCCTGTTTACCATCTGCTTTTGGTCTTTCCTACTGAACAGCCGCAGCTCCGGAGTCCTGCCCCATAAACATTGAGGAATAGGTATGAGATCTACCAAATTATATAAACGAACACACAATTCATTCTACTTTGGGGTTCCTAGCATAAACGGCAGTTGCCTTCTCTCTGTCTGGTCACATGTGAAGTGCCACCCTTAGAGGGGAGGAGCTCCGCTCAGCCACATCCCCGACTCCAGTACCTCAGGGACCAGCGGTCCCCAAATTCTGGCTGGGTGTGAGAGAGACCTGAGAATTTCCTGTTCTACTCACTTCTCCCCCCCTGGGGTCCACCTCCTCAGACTATTATTAGAGACTTAAGAGGGATTATCACACCAGGACATTTCTTGGAAATAAGCAGTTTATACCGCTTAATCCCAGAGTTTCTGCCACTAGAGGGTTTCGTGTCTTGGGCTGGCTTGCCTGAGGCCGGCCCCACACATTTGTGAGCGGCAAGCCTCGGCCCACCCTTCAGAGTTGGTTGGCCCTGCCCAGGAGGAGCTGATGGTCTCATGGAGGCAGTCAGTGTGAGAAGTGGGGTGGCAGTGCCAGCTGCTGGGGGAGCCCTCCGAGCCCCCTGGGCCTTGTCCGGCAGGGGGCCTGTGAAGGCAGGGTGTGGGGATTCCTCTGCTGCTCGGAGGCACAGGGGCCAGAGGAGGGGAGGCCTCCCTGACGCTGGGACTTAGGTCTGCATCCTGCATGTGGGCAGCCGAGGCCCTGCCTTTCCTCTCCACAGAGCTCCTCGCTGCGCTGGACAGAGCCCCGTCCTGGGCTGGGAGGGCGAGGAGGGAGAGAGGAGGGAGCCTGAACGAAGCCTGGGCGCTGGCTGTTAGGCATTTTCTGCTAGTCGGTGCCCAACTCAGTCCTCACCAATCCTGGGAGTTAGTAAAGTGACCTGCCAAGGCCCATACAGTGGACTGGGGGGAGGATGAGGTCAGTGGGCGGTGACACCTGTGGGACCCAGAGGCTCTCAGGCTAGTGTCCTGGGGTTGATGGCACCAGCAGAGAGTAAACCTCTGGGCTGCTCGGGTCAGAAAGAGATGAAGAGCAGCAGGTGTGGGGACGGGGTGCTGCAGCCATGGCACTACCCCCCCCATGTCCCTGGCACCCTGCAGGGTTGCCCAACACTTCCTGCCCTACCCTGGCTCTACGGCAAAGGCAAACACTCTGGGCCCAAACAAACGCACTCCTCTCCCTGGGCTCCACTTCTTCCTGCCCTGAGAAAAGCTCAGCTAGATGCAGTTTCTCTCTCCGTGTCCATCATAACATGCAAGCAACTTCAAACAGTGCACAAAAGTGGATGCTAGGGCAAGTTCACAAAACAGGAAACATCCTGTGCGTCCCTCTGTCGGTGTGCAACAGTGGCCGAGACTGTCCCTGGCCCAGTGGCTCTCACGCGCTGTGGCCTGCGCATGCATTGGAGTTTCAGGTAACACGCTTCCTGCCAGCTTCCGTGCCGAGCTCCGGGGCTGCCCTGCTGGAGACACCGTCTGGACCTGGCCACATGTCGGGCTCCTGTAACCTTCCTTTCTCTCCTCCAGGCACCTGGCAGGCTGATGACAACGTTGTCAGTCGTCGGAACACAAGGCGCCGGCGCCTGTCCTCCAGCAGCCTGGAGGATGCTGAGACCAGGTCCTGCGTGTGGGGTCCTCTGGCCGTCTGAGAGCCCCACCCCCAGGCCGGAGCTCCCTCCTGTCCCCGAGTCCCATCCATGGCCTCCTGGGCATCCTCAGCAGGACACGCAGACTTTTACACCCACGTGGAAGCCGGGTGTGGATGTCAGCCTGTTCTTTGTCCGTCTCATCTCTTTCCATAACCATGACCCCGTCCCTCCTTCCTCGCGGGCTGAAGGCACCAGGTGAACAGCTCACAAGACCTTTTGCAGAGGCTCTGGAACGTCTCCACTGGATCTTGATCTTCAGCTGGAGCCAAGGCCCGCAGGCTGGTTGTTTCTGGAGCATCTTTTTTCTCCTTGGGGGTAGACCAAGAAGACTTGGAGTTTTAGTGGCTGCATTGCAGACACCCATCTGACATTTCTTGGTGTCTGGGACGTCATAACCAATTTGAAACCTCCAGTTGGAGGTGGGTTTGGGGGATGACTCCTGTGAGAAGGGAAAGCCATATTGCACTATAAGTGGAGTTTCCCTCAAGGACAGGAGACATGGTGGCAACCAGAAGGTAGGTTGAAAAAACAGTTCTTGCTTCTGGCAGGCGAGCTAGTCTCCTGTGCCTCATGTTTCTGCCTGCTTAGGAAGGAGGCCTTGAACCTGAAAATCCCGTTACATGACCACTCACAGGAGGGTTTGTTAGGATCAGGTGCATTCATGAAGGCCTGGGGCTCCATCCTAAGGTGACATCTCAAAAAACATGTTTTTGACCACCTCTCTGTACCAGGAACTGTTTCATCACTATGGCCCATTAGGTGGCACTCATCCCTATGTTCCCCGTCTCCACCCCTTTTTGTTAATAGTTGAAGAAATAGGCTGAGAGAGGGGTGGACCAGTGATCCTCCAACCAGTGCCCAGGATTCCCAGAGGAGGTGGTGGAGAGCACTGAGCTGGGCAGCAGTGGGCTGGGCGCCTGGTGGCTGGAGCCAGGGCCTTCACCCCTGGGAGCCTCTCCACCCCACGTTTTCTTCCCCTGCCTTCCAGTTCTCCTGAGCCTGATAGGGGAATGGGAGGTATTGCCTTCCACAGGCTCTTTAGAGATTTAGAGAGATTGTTCAAATCATGTGCTCCCCCCTCAGCTCAGCGTAAGGCATATAAACAAAAGCCTGAAGGGCAAGGCTAGGCCAGACCATGAGCTGGTGGGTGTTTCTCCTCTCTCAACACGAGCGCTGTGGATTCCACATAGTTCTGGGGTAAACGCTTTGTTCACTGGCTTTTGGAAAAGGCGGTTATTCAGTGGAGCAGGGGTTGGAAGCCAAACTGAGTACAGCACTTCGTGAGGCTGAGATGAGGAGCCTCGGGCTGTGCCCATCCTGATGGCTTGTCTTAGTATTTAGAATTGTTGCCTAGAAGAGTTTCTCAGGGCCCTTTCCAAGGCCTCCAAGAGAGCCCAGTGCCCCGAGGATCCTTTGCACCTTCTGTGTGGCTTCTCTGCACCCCAGGCAGGTGGGGACCCTCACGCTGCCTAGTGGTTGTGGCTCACATTCAGGGGGAAGAGTCCTGCTGTTCTGACAGACGTGACATGAGCCAAGCTGGAATCGAAGCTTCTGTCTTGAGTTCCCATGTCCACCCTCTCCGAAGTCCAGCAGAGTCCTCTGCTGGTTCAGGCCCCACTTCATGTCCTTCCTTTCCCTGAACATTCTCTCAGCCCCTTTCATATTTAAGATCTGAGCAATAACCCCACTCCCTGATTTCCTTGAAGTTTGAGGCCCAGAAACACCAGAGAATGGGTTTTTCCCCTAGCCTAGGGTAACAGCACACAGACCCACCTGCTCTCCCGGCAGGTGGTAGTCACAGTGTGGTGTCACCTGAGATGAAGGAAATGCAGGTAAACAGTGGCCAGGAACCCTAAGAGGAAGCCGTCACCTTCAGCCTTTCTGAGGGGTCTGTGTCCTTGCCCAGGGAGAGGCTCAGAAAGATTCTTGTAGGCCTTGGTTGCATAACCAAGACATCTGCATTACAGAATGGCCCTTCAGTCCTTGTGTTTCATACTTCCTGTCCTCTCCCCTATGCCCCCCCCCCCTTTGTTCTCATTTAGATCTTTGGCAAGCAGAAATATCCCATCCAAAGAGGCTGGTCCTCAGCCTGATCAGGGGACAGGGTCAATGCCAGCCCTACTGCCCCATCCATCACCTGGACACCATCGTGTTGTGAGCAGATGACCCAGAGAGAATGGATGGGGCCTGGCTTCTCACACGAGGGCACAGACTAACTGGAGGCCTGTCACTCCTTCCTGCCACTCAGGTCTGAGCTCTCCCATGGCCTCCAGGTGATCCTGGCCTCCTTGAAGAGCCTTCTTTCCATCCCACCAGAGTTCATGCCCACGCTGGGGCATCTCTTGGGCACCAGACCCACACACTTTAAGCCATCTCACCCGGAGAGGGTTAGCATCCCGTCCACCTGATCTCGGCACGCTTGTTGCTCCCTCTGCTTTCGGATCTGCACACCTGGCGTGTGCGCGGCTGTGTGTATACTGTTGTGCCGTCTGTGGACCCCTCTCACTCCCTGGAGTTACACTTGTGGGCACACTACAGTGGGGACATCAAGGATGCAATATTTATGGATTGCTGCATGATTCCTAAAACTGAATAAAACTGTTTACAAGGGAAGGAGAGCTGTTGACTGTGCAGTTGACTTATTCGTGACAGTTTTTGTCTGACTTTCTCCAGCAACCTTTACTCAAGAGAATGTGTATGTGGAGTGGGAGGGGGCCAAGGGTGGGGAAGGACATGCCATCCCCTGGGCACAGGCTTCCCACCCCAGCCCTCCCGCGCCCGGGCAGAGGCCTGAGTAGGGAGCCCTCAGCCCCACCCTTGCCCTTAAACCGGAGAACTCCCAGCACTGCAGCTCCTCAATAATTGAAGAGCAGGAAAGCTGGTGACAGGAGGGAGGCCAGGGGAAGGGAGGAGGGAGGGCCACAGCCCCATGTCCCTGCACCCTGTCCCTTAAAGGTTGGTGAAATTGATGGGGCAGATGGCCCCCTGGGAGAATCTGGGACGTGCATGGCTCTTCCGAGGGCTCTGCTTCCTCCGCCACCTGGGAAGGAGGGAGCGCGCTTCCGCGGAAGCCTCGGGAACGTCAGGGGCGGGGGGCAGCCGCTTGCGGGGAAGCGGGGTGACCCTACC